CTTAATGGTCAAGAAATCATGGGATCACATATTTTACAATTATTTGCAACAATTTTGAAAATGTTTTCAGAAAGTATAGGAATTTAGAGGGCCAATGCTTTACGTCTCGTGAAAAATAAAAGTGGCATCGCAGTCGGTCGGTTTTATCGCGAACGGCTGTAAAATAAAATAAATAAACAATACGAACAAAAGATTTCGCGAATACGAGTTTGGTGTTAGGTATACTTCGGGGTGTAATATAATTTAATATAGTTTGGTAGCAAAAGTTTAGAAATAACGGGGAAAAGACTGACTTTATTTGAAGTAAAAAACAAAAACAACGCCGATGAAAAAGTGTGTAAGGCTATCAAAATTTAGTTAAAAACTTTTATTTTCACATTTAAAGGTACACACAATATACACGACTTGACGCCCCGCTGGGCATGGGAGCTGAACCCGTTATAAGTTTTGTTTCCACGATAGGTCTTAATGCGAGGCAATATAAATTCTCGTCGATCGTATTGCTTTTTTAATTTTTCGTTTTACAAATTCAAAGCGTATGGTACCTAAAGAAAGTATTATAATTTTATTATTATACTCGTATTATTATCGCAATAACAACGAAATATGACTGTGAGAACTATGCGATTAGCGTCTGTTGTTCTACAAAAGTATACTCGTATTATATTATACAAATAAGGTTAAGAAAATAGAAGTGGTCATGGTCGTATCAAGGCCGTATACGCTTGTATAGGTGGTGACTAGGGGTTCGACCTCCCCCCTAACAACATGGGAAGTATATCAAATATGTATTTACAATGGTTTAATATTATTATTTTAAATTTTGATAAGGTAAAATGATTCATCGTCACTGCGTTCATCCGTTAGTCGGTTTCTCAGATWATATTCTTGATAAAAGTTTTTTTTTGAAAAGAATGATTTGCATTAAAAATTCAAGGAAAAATTTGACCAAAAATTTCTAATGCTTTGAAGTGGAATGATTTTCTGGAAATAACTTACAAATTCCAGTTTTCTGAAATTTTCGAGCAATTAGTCTATCGGCCTTATCACATTTAATTCATACCAATTCGAAGGGAACAATAATATTATTCCAATAAATTCATAACGATCATTCAATTTTATCTGTAGATATTAATAATACAATACATCAATTATGTGATTTATTTTGGACTGTTATTGGCATCGCGTGATTTTATTTTTAATACATTGTTACATTAATTTTTAATGGGCCGCCTTCAATTTAATTTTCCGGAAGATGTCAACTAATGAATTAATCATTCTTGCACTGTGGTCTTATTTTTTATTATTGAAAATATTTTTATTTTTTCCATAATATATATTCCACAGTTTGTTACTTATGGAATAATAATATGTAAAAATAATGATCAATTGTATGGCTTGAATGACGGATTTAAGAAGCCTTCCAGTGAAGACACATTGGCATTCATTTTTAAAAATAAAATWTAATTCCCATATAAACGTTTCGAGTTCGTAGCCACTGGTATTTCATCTCTGGTATGGCTTATACCAGTAACAGTAGTGGTAGTATTATTATTTGTACCACCAGTGTTCGACGTGTTCGTCCGTCTGCATGTGCATACATGGGGTTAGATTAATATTATGTAGATCATTTACAAAAGCATAGAATAATAATATATCTAACACATAATTAGTCAGCTATAATCGAATAAGTACAAGTTATAAGATTTATTTCAGACTTTTAAACAACTACGTGTGGTTAGGTTAGGTTAGGTTGCGTTTATGCCTATACATTTTTAACGTATCTAAATCTTATAATTTTCTTGAAAACGTACTTTGTGATCATTTATTATTCATAAAAAAAAAAAAAAACGTAATATCTAAATAAATATTTAGATTTTTCAGATGCCACGCTCCTGGTATTTATAAGTACCTAGTGGTTTAATTATTATTGTGTCCGGATGGTACACTCGGTTAAATTAAAATATTTTGTAGATTATTATCTATTAGTAGACTGATTCGATTCATTTCATTTAACAAAATATGTAATAATGATGGATAATCACTTACTATCTTGCTATAATATTATATTATACTAGATCAAATTCTGCAAAGTAAAAAAAAACTACCTGTTCAATTCCAGCCATTAGAACTGCGTATTACAATGATAAATGGGCAAATGTAATAAAATATAGACAATTTCAAAGACTGTGAAGGCACATACCAAGTACATGTGATATGATCACACCGATGTTGAAATTTTACACAAAATACGTTAGTCGATTTAGTTAGTTGCCATGTGAACATCATATAATCGAAACACTACCGTGTCCAAACGGTCAACAATACTTGTATGGTCATCGATATTTTTCCATTGTGTCCTACACGTGTAGATTTATTATGGTCATCGCATAAAATGTATGAACCAAACAGTTCTAAAAAATGTGATTGTTTTTTTTTTTTTTAACATCGATTCCAGCAAAATAGTGCATGAAAAATGATTTCAGCAATCGATAAAATATTTTATCATCATTTAATAGCCAGCAAGTCCATAGATATACCTGTAATATAAAAATAAATGCTGAAAAAAATAGTATTACCTACACAGGTGTTTATTGCAATATTTTACAGTTTAGTTTTTAAGTATTTTTACAGTCTAGCTTTTTATAATTTTTAATTCAGATTCTTGGTGGAGTTTTATGAATGTAATTTTTTTTAATTTAAAATTTAAATGTAACAAAYGCGTCACTGTTCTTAAGTAGATATTGTGATTTATCCATCACTTTAAAGCATTTATTGTGTTGGAGATATAGGGTTATACAAATAAATAACATAATGATTGAAAATACAGTATAAACATAACAAAATATTTAATATTTATACCCATTAATTATGTAAATAATAGTGAAAGAATACAAAATAAAACAAGACATCATCAATATCTATTGATATATAAAGTTAAATCAAACATCGAAACTACAAACCTTAAGCTTATTTAAATACCAACCCGCAGTTAACTTAGTCTTATTAACCTACACACAATTGAATAACTAACGAACAATATATTGGCTTACACCGTAAGCACCAAAAACTTTAATGTGCCCAACCTGTCCAATTTATTAAAAATCGTGTGTACCATGGGTCGTGACTCATGAGTGGCCATATGTAATATAATACATAATTTATACATATGTATACAATAATATTACTATATGAGTAGTGTTTGGAAAGTTCAAACTTGGAAAATACTGAACTAGTTCACGTTAGATCTATTAATTCAGATTTTTATTTAAAAATTATATGTATATTATCTACAGAAATGAAATATCGCAGTATACTGTAATTCATTACCAATAATTATAAAAAACATCATATGATAAAAAAAAAATGTAATTTTAACTGTTATTTGTAAAATTGTCTCTAAAAATATAAATATTGTTCATACTCTATGTATGAGAAATAAGTGACATTCACTTGTCGTTCTCTAAACATTAATATGGATGCAATGAACTATATGTCCCTTAACACTAACTTTGAGTTAAGATGAACTAGATTCATCTCGCTTACTCCGCTGCAGTGGCGCAACTAGGCTAACTGGGGCCCTAGTGTCACTTTTAACTAAGGGGCCCTAATTAAAATTATTTATGCTTATTATTGTGAACAAAATTTG